TCTGCTGCCCCTCCTGTTTGCCCAGGGTGTGGCGGGCATGAGCGGGGAGAGCAGAGGATGATCAGTATTTGCTGATTGTTCCTGCTGTCAATGAAGCCGGAAGTGATATGTTTTTTGTCACTTTCAGTTTCAAAGCTGTGATTCCCCTGTCACTTCCACTATGCTATCACACAGGGAGCTTGTCAGCTCCTTTTGAGATAGCAATAATGAGAGCATGAATGAGAGCAAAACGTCTAAGGCAATAATTCACTTTAATTCTAGATTGATGACCTGTAAGATCCCTTTCACACGGGCTGATCAGGAGGGAATCTATGCACGGGTCCCCTCCTGATCAGGGCAGTACAAAGCGGATGTCACTTCTGTGACATCCATGTCCATACAGTTTTTTCCTCCACCTTACAATGTCATGTTAGTCTATGGGAAAGCGGATGTAAGTGGACATGTGTGTCCGTTTACATAAGATTACCCTCCATCCAGCACGATATGGTCTCTGATCCGTTTCTTTTTCTGGACCTGGCTGGTGTTTACACATGGCTGCCCATAGACTAACATTGGGCATCTGATTGGATCTGCCTGAAAAACTTACAGGTGGACCCGATTAGACTGCCCATGTGAAAAAGGCCTAAAGGGATTTAACGCATTGCCTGTGGAAATGTTCAAAACCATAGTTTGTTGCAGTTTCATGGGTGTGTGCAATTCTAACGCTTGACATGTTTGGTATCTATTTACTTGACACAACATCATTCTTTATATTTTGCTAAAAAATGGGTAATATATTGTGCTTATGTGCACCAAAATTAACTTTAGCATATTTTTTACTGAAAAGCCAGCTGAAACCCAGAGACAAGATGTCACGATGCCATGCAAGTGCATGGAGGCTGTCTCTCCTTGCTCCCTCTCCTCACTGTCTCCCCTGGCTGTCTCTCCTTGCTCTCTCACCCCTGGCTGTCTCTCCTCACTCTCCTGGCTGTCTCCCCTCGCTCTCTCTCCTGGAGACATCCCCTTGCTCATCCTCCCGGCTGTCTCTCCTGGCTTTCTCTCCTCACTCTATCCTTGCTCTCTCCCCTGACTGTATCTCCTCACTCTCTCCCCTGGCTGTCTCTCCTCACTCTCTTCCCTGGCTGTCTCTCCTCACTCTCTCCCCTGGCTGTCTCTCCTCACTCTCTCCCCTGGCTGTATCTCCCTTCTCTCTCCCCTGGCTGTTTCTGCCCTCTCTCCTGGCTGTCTCTCCTCACTCTCTCCCCTGGCTCTCTCTCCTCACTCACTCTCCTGGCTGCCTCTCCTCGCTCTCTCCTGTATATTCTCAAAAAAAATTGCCACGTGGCACTAGAGTGCTTAAGGCTTTGCTTGAAGAAAAGGTGGCAACCTTTTCTTATATATACACTGTATATATGTGTGTGTGTTTGTATTTTGTGTGCACACCCTAATGCAATAGGCTACGCAGGCCTATGACAGTTTAGCAACTACTACACAATAGCCTTTGTCCATATCCTTTGTTACACAGCATTATGTCTTGTAAATACCTCTATATGCAAATAATGACAAAATCCACACAAAATGGACAAATGCGGAGAGTAAATGTCTTTCTATGTGGCATGATTACAGTAGTTACATGATGACAAGATTACTGCAGTTATATGATTACAGTAGTTTTGACAAAGTTCTGACAGAAGTCTGACAACCCCTTAGAAGTTGTGACAGCAAAAAGCATTGTCTTCTGTAAGACAATACATGCAGCTGGATTAATTTCTCAAATGACAGTTGTGCATTTTCCCTCATTTTATGTAGGTGTATGTCATATTTAACCATTACAGATTTTACCTGCCTTTTTATACTAATTGTACATGTTTATTCTTTATCAACAACTACTACATACCTTTGATATAAGGTAATTTCCTGTCACAGGCAATGACACAGTTATTACATACCACTATTTCTATAAAAACACATGCTCTGAAGGGCTTTTGACTTCTATTATCTTCTGGAGTTGCAAACAATTCACAGACATCCCAACCTGCAAAACCTTATTTCAGGGAGGTTCCTGTCTCATTTCAGGGAGGTGCCCTTTCTGTTTTTTTTTTTTTTTTACAGCGGCCGTCGTCAGAATATAAAAGA